ACGCCCACGTGGACAAGGCTGCGTGGTTAAGAAGACCCCCGAGGAGGCTTGAGGCAGGTGGATAGACTGAACTCACAGGTTCGAGACCAGCCTGAGCTAAAGCGAAACCCCCCGCCATAGCCAGGCTTTGTGGCGGGCGCCTGTAGTCCCACCTACTTGGGAGGTTGAGGCAAGAGAAACGTATAAGCCCAGGAGTTGGAGGTTATTGTGAGCTGTGATACCATGGCACTCTGCCCGGGGCAACAGCCTGAGGCTCTGTCTCAAAAAAAAAAGAAGAAGAAGAAGAAGAATATATCGATGAGAAGAATTTTTTTAACTTAGGGGATTTCTTCAACAAGTGACAGAAAAGACCAATTATAAATTTCACTACACTAAATAGAAGAACTTCTGCCCCCCAAATGACAATTTTAGTTTATAATAACATCTAATTTACAGTTTGAGCATGAGTATCAGAAGAAATGATGTCTATGAAAGTGAGTTCTCAAGCACTAGGCAAATGGTGGTTGCTTTTACCTTTGAATTCCCTGCAAGGTGCTTTGTGTTCTCTGTAGGCTTGAGGTTAGGAAGACTGGTTCACTCAAATTATTTCAAGTTTGGGATATTTTGTAGTTAGAATTCCATAAGAGGTGTCACCACTTCCTAGTCATACTTTCCTGCTCCCCTAGTTCTCTATATGTCCATATGGATCTGGACATATGACTTCTTTGGTCAATGAAACGTGAGCAGAGTGACGTATATTACTTTCAGGAAGAAAACATTTTAGAGCCTGACATGGTTCTCGTGCTCATTTTCTTCTGTCTTGGTGTTCATGGAGGCACATGTTAATGTGGAAATTGGATGCAAAGAAGACTGGAACTCTGAAATAACCCATGGAGGACAGCTGCCTGGAAGAGAGTCTCAGAAATGAAGTGAATTTTAGACAAATGGGAAGTAAACTTTTATATTAGGCTCTGAGATTTTGGCATTGTTTGTCACGACAGCATAACTTGACCTATCTTTATTGATACAGAAACCCTTAATCTGGATTGAAATCTCATCTGATTCAGAGGCAGATCCAGGGCACTTTCTTCTTTCTTCTGGGGACTATACTGTTGCCCACACATGGTGTCTCCCCCTCTCTCTGCAAGTCAGTTCTGATCTTCTTTCGCTAACAACCAGCTTCTCCTGTTTACTTATGATTTTAGTTTATACAAATCCTCTCCAGCTCCAAATCCACATCCTGAGATTTCAGCCTAACTGGGTGTCTTCTATCCAGTAGATTTTAGTTTTATTTATTTATTTATTCATTCGTTCATTTCAGATTAATATAAGGGTACAGATTATTAGGTTATATGGTTTGCATTTGTCAGGTTGCAAGTCCAAGTTGTAATTGTGACCTTCATCCGGAAAGTGTGCCATATACTCCTACATTGTACCCGCTAAAAGGGAACTTATCGAACCCCCTGCTCTGTTCTTGCATTTATTTATTTATTTGAGACAGAGTCTCACTCAGTCTCCCTGGAGTTGAGTACCATGGCATCGTAGTTCATAGCAACCTCAAACTCTTGGGTTCAAGTGATTCTCTTGCCTAGGCCTCCCGAGTAGCTTGGACTATAGGCATCCACCACAATGCCTGGCTATTTTTAGAGACAGAGTCTTGCTCTAGCTCAGATGGGCTTAAACTCCTGAGATCAGGCAATCTACTTGCCTCGATCTCCCAGAGTACTAGGATTACAGGCATGAGCCACCACTCCCAGCCTTGTTCTTGCATTTGAGTTTTTGTTTTTTTTTTAGATAGAGTCTCACTTGGTCACCCTGGTTAGAGTGCTGTGACATCCTAGCTCACAGCAACCTTATACTCTTGAGTTCCAGTGATCCTTTTGCCTCAGCCTCCCAAGTAGCTGGGACTACAGGTATCCACCACAACGCCTAGCTATTTTTAGAAATGAAGTTTTGCTCTGGCTCAGGCTGGTCTTGAACTTGTGAGCTCAGGCATTCCACCCACCTGGGCCTCTCAATTTCTGGGATTATAGGCATGAGCCTCACTGCCCAGCCCCAAATTGAGTTTTTTTCTCATGTGTGTACCTTGCTATTAATCACCAAGTTTTAACTTAGTACTGGGTACATGAGATGCCTGATTTTCCATTCTTGTGATACTTTACTTAGGAGAGTGTCCTCTAAATCCATCCAACTTTTTTTTTTTTTTTTTTTGAGACAGAGCCTCAAGCTGTCCCCCTGGGTAGAGTGCCGTGGCATTACAGCTCACAGCAACCTCCAGCTCCTGGGCTCAAGAGAGTCTCCTGCCTCTGCCTCCCAAGTAGCTGAGACCACAGGCGCCTGCCACAACGCCCGGCTATTTTTTGGTTGCAGCCGTCATTGTTGTTTGGCGGGTCCGGGCTGGGGATTTGAACCCACCACCTTAGGTGTACGTGGCTGGTGCCTTAGCCGGTTGAGCTATAGGCGCCAAGCCAATCCATCCAACTTTTAACAAAAGATACAAAATCTCCATCTTTTTCATGGCTGAATAGTATTCCATGATATACATATATAACATGGTTATTATTATAATTTTTTTGACTGGAAGTAGAATTTATTAGTAGTTGCAAATGAGGGGGCAACACAATGGAAGTCCTAATGAGTAAGGGCCCACCACCTGTCCAGGGGGCCGCAACTGGGGATGTATTCGACCCTACAGCCATCTGGGATAAATCACTTCTCAGCCACCATGTCTTCAAATTCATCTGTATTAAATTGGTAAAGCCCCACTTCTTGGAGATGTGAATATTCTGGTGACCAGGGAACTTGAACTTGGCCCTGTGCAGGGCCTTAATCACATGCTTCTTGTTCTGTAGTTTGGTGCATATGCACGTGATGACTTGGCCAATGTGAACCCTGGCCACAGTGCCCTGGGGGTTTCCAAAGGCACCAGCATACCTGTCTGGAGTCTAGATTGGGGACAGCACCAGGTCTAACACATGAACATATATTGAAAAGGAATGTCTCCAAGGTCCCTTAGAACAATCATATAAACAACAGGCTGCATACACTACCAAGGAGGCTATAGTTTGCAGCCATTGCACACTAGGCTCCCCATGAGGAAAAGAGCATGGTTAGCTGAATTAGCTACAGGCGTATATCACATTATTAATCCATTCAGGAGTTGGAGGGCACTTGGGTTGTTTTCACATCTTTGTGATTGTAAATTGGGCAGCTGTAAACATTTGAGTGCAAATGTCCTTATAATAAAATGACTATTTTTTTTTTTTGTAGAGACAGAGTCTCACTTTGTCACCCTTGGTAGAGTGCTGTAGCATCACACAGCTCACAGCAACTTCCAACTCCCGGGCTTAGGTGATTCTCTTGCCTCAGCCTCCTGAGTAGCTGGGACGACAGGCGTCCGACACAACACCCAGCTATTTTTCTGTTGCAGTTTGGCTGGGGACGGGTTCAAACCTGCCACCCTCAGTATATGGGGCTGGCGCCCTACCCATTGAGCCACAGGCACCGTTTTTCTTTCAGGTGGATACCTAGTAATGGGATTGCAGGATCCAATGGAAGGTCAATGATACTTTCAGTTCTCTGAGGACTCTTCATCCTTTATTCCATAAAGGTTGTACTAGTTTGCAATCCCACCTAAAAGTGCAGGAGTGTCCCCTTCTCTCCGCATCCATGTCAGCATCTGTTACTTTGGGACCTTGTGATGTAGGCCACTCTCACTGGGGGGGATAGGTGATATCTCAAAGTGGTTTTGATTTGCATTTCTCTAAAAATTAGGGATGATGAGCATTTGTCTGTCCTCATGAGAAAAGGAGTAGATCTGAGTTCTTAGTCCAGATTCCTGCTGGACGAGCTTGAATGGGTCACCCCATTCATTTACTCAATATTTCCCCCCAATTTTTATTGTAGCAAAATATATATAACATACCATTTGCCGTCTTAACCATTTTTAAAGTGTATAATTCAGTGGTATTAAGTACAGTTACGTTGTGCAACAATTTCCACCATGTATCTCCAGAACCCTTTTTATTTTATAAAACTAAAACTCTATACCCATTGAACAGTCATTCCCAATTCTCCACTCTTCCCAGCCCCTGGCAACCACTATTTTACTTTCTGTCTCCATGAATTTAACTTTAACTTTAGCTACCTAATGTAAGTGAAATCATAATATTTGTCTTTTGGTGAATGGCTTATTTCACTTAGCATAACGTCCTCGAGGTTCATCCATGGTGTAACATGTGTCAGAATTCCTTTCCTTTTTATGGCTGAGTACTAGTCATGGTCCATTCTATATATATGCCAGATTTTGCTTATGTATTCATTTTTTGGTGGACACTTGTGTTGCTTCTACTTTTGGCTATTGATGATATGAACATGTATATTCAAGACCATGCTTTCAATTCTTATGGGTATATACCCGAAGTGGGATTGTTGCATCATGTGAGAATCTATCTTGAACTTTTTGAGAAACTACCAAACTCTTTTCCACACCAGCTACACAATTTTACGTTCTCACCAACAATGCACAAGAGTTCCAATTTCTCCATATTCTTGCTAACACTTATTTTTTGTTTTTAACAAAATAGCAGACATCCTAATGGGTGTGAGGTGGTGTTGTTTTGATTTGCACTTCCCTAATGATGTGCTTATTGATCACTTGTATATCTTCTTTGGAAAAAATGTCCATTTAAGTCTTTTTCCTATTTTTGAATTGGTCTGTCTTTTGGAGGTTGTTCAGTTTTAGGAGTTTTATGTATATTCTTGACATTAGTCCCTTATCAGAGATATGATTTGCAAATTTTTCCTCTCATTCTTTGGATGGCCTTTTTACTCCGTTGATACTGTCTTTTTTTTTTGAGACAGAGTCGCACTATGTCACCCTGGGTAGAGTGCTGTGGCGTCACAGCCGACAGCAACCTCAAACTCTTGGGCTTAAGGGATTCTCTTGCCTCAGCCCCCCAAGTAGCTGGGACTACAGGCACCCACCACAATGCCTGGCTAATTTTGGTTGCAGTTGTCTTTGTTGTTTAGCTGGCCTGGGATGGGTTCGAACCCACCACCGTTGGTGTATGTGGCTGGCATTGCAACAACTGTGCTATGGGCACCGAGCCAATAGTGTTTTTTTTTTAGAGACAGAGTCTCACTTTATCACCCTCGATAGAGTGCTGTAACGTCACAGCTCACAGCAACCTCCAACTCCTGGGCTTAGGCGATTCTCTTGTCTCAGCCTCCCAAATACCTGCAACTATAGGTGCCCGCCACAACACCCAGCTATTTTGTTGTTGTTGTTGTTGTTGCAGTTTGGCTGGGGCCAGGTTTGAACCCACCACCCTCAGTATATGGGGCCAGTGCCCTACCCACTGAACCACAGGCGCCACCCATGTCTTTTGATGAACAAAAGTTACTTGTTTTCATGAGGTCCCAATTTGTCTATTTTTTCTTTTGTTTTGCCTTTGGTGTCACATCCAAGAAATCATTGCCAAATCCAATGTCATGAAGCTTTACCTGTTTTCTTCTAAGAGTTTTATAATTTTAATTTTTATATTCAGGTCTCTCATCTTTTTTGAGTTAATTTTTGTATATGACGTTAGGTAAAAATCCAACTTTATTCTTTTGCATGTGGATATTCAGTTTTCCTCACGTCATTTGTTGAAAAAGATTCTATTGAATGGTTTTGGCACCATTGTTGAAATCATTTGAACATATATGTGAAGGCTCATTTCTGGACTCTCTATTCTATTCCCTTGGTGTCTATGTCTGTCTTTAGGCCAGTACCACACTGTCGTTGTCTACTAAGCTTTTGTTTTTATTTTTATTTATTTCTTTATTTTTTGTAGAGACAGAGTCACATTTTATAGCCCTTGGTAGAGTGTTATGGCATCACAACTCACAGCAACCTCCAACTCCTGGGCTTAGGCAAATTCTCTTGCCTCAGCCTCCTGAGTAGCTGGGACGACAGGTGCCTGACACAACACCCAGCTATTTTTCTGCTGCAGTTTGGCCGGGGCTGGGTTCAAACCCGCCACCCTGGGTATATGGGGCCGATGCCCTACCCATTGAGCCACAGGTGCCGCCTGATAAAATGACTTTTTTTTTTCTTTCAGGTGGATACCTAGTAATGGGATTACAGGATCCAATGGAAGGTCAATGATACTTTCAGTTCTCTGAGGACTCTCCATCCTTTATTCCATAAAGGTTGTACTAGTTTGCAATCCCACCAAAAGTGCAGAGTAGCTGGGACTACAGGCGCCCGCCACAACATCCGGCTATTTTTTGTTGTTGTTGCAGTTTGGCCAGGGCTAGGTTTGAACCTGCTGCTTTCGGTATATGGGGCCGGCGCCCTACTCACTGAGCTACAGGCGCCACCCTGTTTTTATTTTTTTAAAGAAACGAATCTTGCTATGTTGCCCAAGCTGGCTTCAAATGTACTAAATTTTGAAATCAGGAAGCGTGAGTTCTCCAGCTTTGTTCTTCTTTTTCAGGACTATTTTGCCTAGTCATGATCTCTTGAAATTCCTAACAACTTTATAATGATATTACTATTTCTGCAAAAAAATAATATTTAATCAAAATACTCCATTGCCCAGGCTGGAGTACAGTGGCCTGGCATGATCATAGCTTACTGTAGCCTTAAATTTCTGGGCTCAAGTGATCCTCCTGCTTCAGCCATACCAAGTAGCTTGGACTACGTGTATGGGTCTCCATGCCTGGACAAGTTTTCTATTTTTTTGTGAAGATGGGGGTGGGGCTCTCACTGTGTTGCTCAGGCTGGTCTGGAACTCCTGACTTCAAGCTATCCTCCTGCCTCAGCCTCCCAAAGTGCTAGGATTACAGGTATGCACCATTGCACCTGGACCATCATTGGGATTTTGGTTGGGACTGTATGAAATCTATAGGTCACTTTGGGTAGTATTAACATCTTAACAATATTAAGTTTTCCAACCCATGAGCAGGATACTTTTCCATTATATTATGATTTTTTAATGTCTTTCAGAAACATTTTGTTGTTTTCATTGTACAAGACTTCCATCTTCTTGGTTGAAGTGAATTCCTAAGTATTTCATTCTTTCTGATATCATAAGTGAATTTGTTTTCTTAATTTCCTTTCAGATGGGCTCGGCGCCTATAGCTCAACCGGCTAAGGCGCCAGCCACGTACACCTAAGGTGGCGGGTTCGAATCCCCAGCCCGGACCCGCCAAACAACAATGACGGCTGCAACCAAAAAATAGCCGGGTGTTGTGGCGGGCGCCTGTGGTCCCAGCTACTTGGGAGGCGGAGGCAGGAGACTCGCTTGAGCCCAGGAGTTGGAGGTTGCTGTGAGCTGTAATGCCACAGCACTCTACCCAGGGGGACAGCTTGAGGCTCTGTCTCAAAAAAAAAAAAAAAAAAATTTCCTTTCAGATGGTTCTTATGAATGTATAGAAATGTAACTTTTTTTCTTACAGTTTTATTTTACTTTATTTATTTATACATGGTGTAGAGCCAAGTCTGGTTATGTTGCCTATGTTGGCCTTGAACTCCTGGGCTCAAGTGATCCTCCTGCCTCAGTCTCCTGCCTTGGCCTCCCCAGTAGTTGGGATTACAGGCAAACAACACTGCACCCAGCTACAATGCAATTGATTTTTTAAAAATTATTTATTTATTTAACGGATGGTATCTTGCTCTTTTGCCCAGGCTGGAGTGCAGTGACAAGATCATAGCTCACTGCAGTCTTGGACTCCTGGGCTTAACTGATCCTCCTGCCTCAGCCTCCTAAGTAGCTAGGGCTGCAGGTATGTACCACCATAATTGGCTAATTTAAAATTTGTTTGTAGAGACTGGGGTTTTGTTATATTGCCCAGGCTGATCTTCCACTCAGTGATCTTTGGCCTTAGTGATCCTCCTGCCTTGGCCTCCCAAAGCACTTGGATTACAAGTGTGAGCAACTCTGCCTGGCCTATTTTTAATATATTTTTTAGAGGCGGAGTCTCCCTCTGTTGCTAAGCTGGACTGCAATGGCATGGTCATAGCTCATAGTAACCTCAAGCTCTTGGGATCAAGTGATCATCCCACTTTGAAGTGCCAAAATGCTGTGATTGCAGGTGTGAGCCACCATGTCTGGCTGTGACTGATTTTTATTGTTGACTTT